CTCTCTCTCTCTCTCTCTCTCTCTCTCTCTCTCTCTCTCTCTCTCTCTCTCTCTCTCTCTCTCTCTGTATTCTGTCGTTAAGGATCGGGAGCAAGCAATTTGTTTCTCCATCGACAAAATTCTGCTTCTCTCTTTCTCTCTCTCTCTCTCTCTCTCTCTCTCTCTCTCTCTCTCTCCGACTCAAAAGTTTATTTACTCTTTCGTACGATCGTCTAGGAAAGACACGAGAAGGGTGGCAAAAGTTCGATTCAGCACGAGGGTGTTTATTGAATTCCATTGCGATCCATTATTTGCGGCCTGGTGAATCCGAGGCCACGAGCAATAAATCGCCCGAATCTGTGGGCCCAACAAAGGGAGATGTTCGAAGGGTTTGAAAATCCACGTCGTCGACCTCGAACCATCCCTTTCCTTCTCATCCAGGAAAACGCTCGAGGGAACTGGTTAAGCGGTACTTCGCTTGGAAGGACTCGATGCTTAAGGGCTCCTCGAGTAGTTCTCTCCTCGATCAAACGAGCCACGGTTTATTACCGAATCATCATCGGTAACATCGACGAAATCTAGAATCGAATCGTCGTTTTGCATTCATCGAATTTCAAAAAAAAAAAAAAAAAAAGAAAGAAAGAAAGAAAGAAAGAAAGAAAATTAAAGAAAAGATCGCTTGTAAAATTCTTTCGTTGTTGTTGTTGTTGTTGTTGTCGTTGTATGTTTTCTCTTTATTTTTGAATTTTAATAAATGAATAATATTTTTCCAATCGCTAATACTTATAATACGAACGTAATTTTATTTTTAATATCACTGCGATATTTGATCTATAACTTCAAGTTCCTCCCTAATAAAATTCTTATTACGAATATTTTACGATTTATTATCAACGTGACAAAACACTTTTTATATATTTCAATGATTAATATAACAAATATTAATATAGAAGAACGAATCGTTAACGAATGATACGTATTTGTTGTTCGTAATTCTACTGAATATAAAAATATATATATATATATATATATATATATATATATATATATATATCCTGTCGTATACTTTGTACATATTGTTAAATCAATTTAACAAGGTCAAACAAACGTTTTTTTACTACAATGCATTATGAAATTCTCAAGTGATTACGCACCTATAAAATTCAAGAACGGTGCACGATTTGATATCGTATAAAAGATGCTTATAACGCAAAGATACGGCCATTAATTCGTTCCATTCAGAAATAATTGCTCGCATCGCGATGAGATAAAAGGGATACCGTGGGTCTGGACCAGTTGGCACCAACCCTTCGGATCTTACAATTTGGAACCCTTGATACACAACGAATCAGGGCAAAGCGTAATCGTTAGCATGCCGGTCTATCGTTTATCCTTTCTTAGTGGCCAACCCCTGGAAACTCGACAGCAATACGATATGCCATACGAATCCCTAGAAAATGGTGGCCAGCTTGAATCGAGGATATTCTGTCTCACGCTATACTATTCTCTTATCTTAGTGGATAAACAGATAAGAAACTGGAATGAATCGATTTCACGAACGAACGACCGAACGAATGAACGAATGAACGAACAAACGAACAATCGATCGAATGAACGATTAATAAACGAAGATAGAATGAATCGGATTAATTAATTGGATTGTACAAAAAAGTAAAATTTAAATATATATATAATAACACACACACACACACACACACACACACACACACATACATATATATATATAAGAATTATACAAAGAGAAAGAGAGAAAGAGAGAGAGAGAAAGAGAGAGAGAAGAGTTCCGACGACACAATTATAAAAGTTCGTCTGTCGATGGAAATGCGCGTGCCACCGAGAGCAACGAGGAATCGGACGGTTCCGATAGCAAGATAGAGACAGATATATAGATAGATAGATAGAGAAAGAGAGAGAGAAAAAGAGAGAAAGAGAGAGAGAGAGAGAGAGAGAGAAGGATAGAAAGATAGAAGGAGGGTAGAAACGACAGGGTGGTAGTTGCCCCGTTGAATCAAGATGAGGGAGAGCTTGGATGGGGTGAGACCGGGAAGGTGGTCGGAAGCGGACAGAGCCATGGGTTGGGTTCCACGGGAGTGGATGGATGGGCGAGTTGTGAGTTATCAGGGTCGGGCAGGCTCGTGGCTCTACTCGTCCTCTTTCTCTCTCCTGTCTCTGCTAGAAAGAGAGAGAGAGAAATAGAGAGAGAGAGAGAGAGAGAGAGAGAGAGAGAGAGAACTAGTAGGATGGACTGGGGTAGTTCTGGCCAGGTCCTATCCACCAGGAGCCTCAGTGGGTTGGGGTGATCGATATGCCGTGTGGCAGTACGCCTCTGCCGTACAGCGTGGCACGTCGACGTGCGCACCCTCCTAATTAACCCTTTTCAACGCGATGCGTGCCACTCTTCTATCTACCCTTCCGCAACTCGACTCTCTCTCTCTCTCTCTCTCTCTCTCTCTTTCTCTCTTTTTCTCTCTTATATCTATCTCACCCTCTCCCACTTTCCCTCTTTCTTTTTTTTTATTTTCACTATTTTTCTTTACATACCTTCTTTTATTTCTTTAGTTTACTTTTCCTTTTAATTGTTCCTTTGTTATAATTATTCCAACCGTATAATTTTTTACCTTACAATTTTGCCCTTCGTTACCCTTGTTATCGCGTACGGAACTGTTCGAAATTTCCCGCTCGAAAATCATAGCTCGATTCCTCCATCCTCATTCTTCGCATCAACTCCCTCCCCCACCCTCTTCTCTCTTTCTCTTTCTCTCTATGTCGAATGGACGAACGCGTCACGTTCACAATATCATCCTCGCTCCCACCCCCCCCCCGCCGCCCCCTCCCCGTATTGCCATCGTTTCATAGTGAAATATGACGCTTTTTAAATCGTGATTTAAGCGCGTTAACTGACCTAAAGATGTCACATTCATCATCCTTTTACGAAAAAATACGATAACATTCTTCTTCTTCTTATTTTTTATCTTCTCCTTTTTGTTTTTCTTTTCTTTTTTTTTTTTTGCTGTTTCTTTTTTCCTTTTTATTATTTCTTTTCGATTCATTGAGATAAACAATTTTTTTACACTCTTTCATTCATACATATATTTATGATAATATTATATGATAAATATTAATGATCTTTTGTTTTCGAAAGATATGAAGATTTTTAATTGATACAAAAAAGAAAAAAAAAGAAAAAGGAAAGAAAGAAATCGAATATTTTATTTGAAACGATAAAAACAAGCGAGAAAAAGAACAAAAAATGTATGAGTATCTAGAAATGAATGAACGAAAGAAACGACAAAAATTTCTCTCATGAAGGTAGAACCATTGAAGCTTATTAGTGATTCTAACGTCATTCTTGTTTATTATCTATCTCTCTCTCTCTTCCTGTCTCTCTCTATCCATCTATCTAACCACCTATCTATCTATCTATCTATCTATCTATCTATCTATCTATCTCTTTCCTTCTCTTTCGAAGAGATCATATCGATATTTCTGTGCTATAGTCTATCTCGTGCAGTGTGCACGGCATATCGAGAAGATGGTGTGTTGGAGAATACGAGTGAAGAGGATGGGAAACGTGAATCGGGGCAAGTAGAGAAAGAGAGAAAGAGTGAAAGGGAGAGAGAGAGAGAGAAAGAGAGAGAGTAGGAGGGGTTGAAGTGATCAGATCTACCGGCAGGCGTCACGCGCCTTTCAATCCCTTGGTGTCGATGCCTTCTGCTTGCACCCTCGTTCTAATTCGAACCACCGTACGTGTATATATTATATAGAGAGAGAAATGATGACGATGACGATGATGACGACGACAATGACGACTACAAAATAGGACCGACAACATGTTAATGACGATGACCGAATAGGATTGACGACGACAACGATGACAATTTTTTTTATTAAGGACGACCGAAAAAGACCAATGACGACGGCAATGACGACGGCAATGACGACGACAATGACGACCGAATAGAACCGATAACGATGATGTCGCTACCACTTTCGGCCATCTTCGGCCGCCATCGTTGGTATTTTTCAGTCTACGTCATCGTCATCGCCGTCATTGTCGATCCTATTCGGTCGTCATCGTTCTATTCTCGTCATTCAACTTTCGTCATCTTGACCAATGATGGCCAATGATAATGATTGATATTGCAGACAAATCAATGGGTTATAAAGTAAATACGAATTAAAACGAAGGATTCTCCCTTTATCATTTTCATTACTGTACACGATTAACTGTATTTTATATTATGTTTTAATATAAATACAAGTCGCGAATATTAATACAGTAAGACACACTTGTTTCTTTCTTTTCTTTCTCTTTTTTTTTTTGTTCGTTTTTTTTTCTTGAGCGATACAACACACACAGACATCAATAGTCGAAATGAATTTCGATGGACATTGGCTTTATGTTGCGACCAATTTATTATTACAAATTTATCGATAACCTACGTGCGTATATACGTCACGTGGGAATTCGTTTGGAATGATTAATCGACACGATAAAATAATTAACGCTTAATACAATGCATTATATACGATTTGCGATAATCATTGCAAACGGAGAATCACGGGATACTATTATTATCTTTATTTCATCTTATTATACGTATTCTTTTAATACTGCATATATCTATTATAATTATAATTGTACATATAAAAATAAAATACGCGCGAGCTCACAAAGTACAAAGTACGTTTCTCGGTTGAAACATCGCTCTATCTTACCTCCCTCTCAAAAAAAAAAAAAAAAATAAAAAAAAAAAGGAAGAAAATAATCTTATTTATTTCATCGAATTTTTATTGCGGATCTATTCGTATTTTAGAAAAAAAAGAAAAAAAGTGGAAAGAAGTGTGCAAAGAAAATAAAAGAATAGAAAAAAAAGTGGGAACAAAAAATTGAAATTTCAGCGTTCTTTTTTAAAGAAGCAGAACGAACGAACGAATGAAAAGGTAAAATAAAAGGGAGAAAAAATGATAGAGATGGAAAGAGAGAGGAAAGAGAAACAGACAGAGAGAGAGAGAGAGAGAGAGAGAGAGAGAGAGAGAGAGAGAGAGAGAGAGTGAGAGAGAAGAGTAGCGTATGGTAATGGCGCGTAATACGATCTGATTGCATTTATGATGAATGGGGGATCCGCTTGGGAGGGTTTGGGGCGCGTGTCGAGTCGGGCAGTTGGAAATTCTGCTTGCGGTTTAATGACAGCGCCATGGTTGGTCCGTACGTTCGTTCGTACGAGCCATACACAACCCCTCTTACTCATCCCTCTTATCCATCATGCTCTTTCTCTCTCTCTCTCTCTCTCTCTTTCTCTCTCTCTTTCTTTCTCTATCTATTTCTATCTATCCATCTCTCTTTCTCCCACTCTCTAGTTCCCTAATTATATCTTCGTTCCAAGAAAGAGAGAGAGAGAGAAAAAGCTGAGATACGATGAAAATCGTAAGTTCACGGTTTCACATGCGAGCTCGTTCCTTTTAAAATTTTTTTGTTCTCTTTTTTTTTTTTTTTTTTTTTTTTTTTTATTAAAGACGAAGAAGGAACATCGGATAATTACAGACCTCGTATTTGTTACAGTCGAGTTTTCGCGAGTACGTATCCTATGAAGAAAGAAAGAAAGAAAGAAAGAAAGAAAGAAAGAAAAAAAAAAGAAAATTAAATAAATAAAGAAGAAGAAGGAAAAAAAATTGGAGAGAGAGAGGAAGAGAGAGAGAGAGAGATAAAAATGAAAGGAGGGAAAGGAAAGAAAGGAAGAAAAAAAAGAAAACGCTTATCACGGCGATCCTTCTGGAGGGGTAGAGGAAGGGAATAAAGAGAAGGAAGGAAGGAAGAAAGGAAGGAAAGAAAGAAAGAAAGAAAGAAAGAAAGAAAGAAAGAAAGAAAGAAAGAAAGGTAGTATACACGTTCTCAGGTAGATCGTGAATATCCTTTCATTCATTTTTCTCGAGACTGACTACGTCACGATACTTTTAAAAATATTTTTACACAATGAAAAGAAGTTGGTAGGGACTCGATGATAACGCTTTAAATCCCGTCGTTTACTATAAACCATCGTACGTTTTATGGTGTGTGTGTGTGTGTGTGTTGGGAAGGGGTAGATGGAGGAAGGAGGAGGATTGAAAAGAGGAAGAAAAAAAAGGAGAAAAGAACAAAAAATTAATGACTTCAATCATTATTACAAAAATGCGACGAAGTCAGTAATGCGTAGAAACGTTTGCAATCTAAATATTTCTTGATATTTTTACTTTTTAATCTTGTCGCTTATGATTATATATATTATTTGATTAATTTTTTATTTTTTTATTTTTTTTTTTTTTTGATTTTTTTGATCCATTGAAAAAAGACATTATATTATACAACGTTAAAAACTTGATAAACATTTAAACATTAATCGATAATCCGATTGAACGATTAATTTGTAATATCTATGTGCGAGATAAAGAGACATACGTAATATAAAGCTCATTCAGATTTATAGATAAATATTTTTATTTATTTCTTTGTTTTTCTTCTTTTTTCTCTTTCTTTCTTTCTTTCTTTTTTTTTTGTTTTGTTTTTTTCCTTTTTCCTTTTTCTTTTTGGATTTTTCAGAAGACAACAACATAGAGAGAAAGAAAAAAATGTCTCGCTTTAAGCAGGTCGATTCTTTCACACGCGACTTCCAGCAAGACGAGACGGTCTCTCTCTCACTCTCCTTCTCTCTCTCTCTCTCTTTCGTCGTTCTTCCATCCCTACGGGATTCGTTTTCGAGCTCAACGATGCGCGCTCTCGATAACGATTTTACGAGGCACGCCCTTTCGTCGAGAGGACGAGGACGACGACGACGACGACGACGACGACAACGACAACGATGACGACGACGACGACGACGACGACGACGACTAAGACGACGACGACTACGACGAAGTAGAGGAAGGATATCGAGAACGTCGTCGTTTTACCTCGCCTATCGTGGAATCGAATCTGGTTCGTATCGTTCAACGTGTAGTACCAACGACGTTGAGCTCGCGTTACTCCAATGTATTTACGAGAACCGTGACGAATCGTCGATCGAACGAAAACCAACCTACATATACGACATACTTTTATTTCGCGATCGGTGAAAGAGAGAAAAAAGAAAAAAAAAAAGAAAAAAAGAAGAAGAAAAAGAAAAGAAAAAAGAAAATAAAGAGTTTTACTTCACGAGGAAGCTTTTACGATAGATTCCCTCGAGATAAGAATGAGATTTCCAATGATGAATATTTTTAAAATAGATTATTTGCTATTAATCGTTCGTAAAGAAATTAGATATGCATTAGAAATAATTTAACGTTTATATAATTGATTTAAACATGCCAGTTAAGATCATCATCAATCAATTGCATTTATTTTTATCGTTATCTCTTTTTTTTTTCGTTACTATAATATCGAATATGAGACCATACTTCGTTTCATACTTCAACTTGTTATTTGTCTCCTTCTTTTGATCTTTTTTCTTTTCTTTACTTCTTTTTCCTATTTTTTTTTTTTTCCTT